TAAATTTCTTCTACATGTATTCTACCGTCCCACGTCCTACGAGTATGTAATCTTAGATATCGAATGTGCATCCATCTCTAATTCACAAATCAGAGAGCGTCCTCACTGCACGCTGTTGCGAGCCAATTTTATTCTTTGGTCAAGGACACTTAGATTAGAGCCATCTCGCCATCTCGCCATCTCGCCATCAAGCAAACTCATTATTCACATGCTCAAGTAAAACCACGACTATGTCTCCATAGGACCATGAAACGGAGCATAACATCTTTCCCCTTTGTACACGCTGTTCAGGCTAAGAAGCCAAGCTTTGCATCATCTCGCCCGATGACAAGACTTTCACAGGCCCCTTGATGCTTATTAGCGGCAGTAGATAATAGTATGACAAGAAAATGAGTCTGAACGGTATGAGTTACTGACTTCACTGGAACTCAAAGCCTCGAGACTCGGCTATCTTTGCAGGCGGGTCTTTGTGCAACTTGTTGTGCCCCGAGTCATGAGGGCCGTAGGCGGCGTGAGTCGTGGGACCAGATCCGATTCCAATAGGGGTATCGTGGACCCCCGATTGACTGCCATGCTCTCCCTGAAGCGGGTCGTAGCCGCTACGAGATTCAAGTCCAATCGCACCCGCCCCAGCGGCCATCTCCTCTTCACCACGGCTAGGGTGTATGGCTCCTTGATGACGGGCTTCTTCCTCTTTCAGCTCCTTGTCGGGCTTGTCACGATGAAGGAACCCGAGAAGGCCACCGTGCTTCTTCTCCCCATGGTCCTGCTTCTTCTCGTCTTTTTCAATGGCTTTCTCATGCTTCTTCTCATCCTTCCCCATGGTTTTCTCGTGTTTCTTCTCCGACTTCTCAATTGCCTTTTCATGGGCCTTCTCCTCCTTCGCGAGCTCTTTGTTGTGGTGCTTGACCTCTTTCGAGTGCTCCTTCTCGAGAGCCTTCTCTTCTTTAGCGTGCTCTTTCTGCAACTTCTCGGCATCTTTTTTGGAGTATTCGTGCTCAGCCAGACCACCCGCACCAGCAGCCCCGCCAAGAATTGCCGCATCTCTGCCGGTATGATGCTCTCGCGAAGTATCTTGATAAGGCTCGGTACCGTAGCCAGCGGCGTCTCTCGGAGAGTGTTCGTGACCGGCTAAAGCACCAGCGCCGGTTCCTGCGCCCCCAACAGCTGCAGTATCTCTACCGATATGATGCCCGCGCGAGGCTTCTTGGTAGGGCTCGTTACCGTAACCAGCAACATCTCTATGGGAATATTCGTGATCGGCCAAAGCCCCGGCCCCGGCCCCAGCACCTCCTACAAGAGCAGCATCTCTGCCTGTATGACGTCCTATGTGATGTCTCTTTTCCGTATCGTTGCCATAATCAGGAGACGAGTAGGTTGCAATCGAAGCTCCGGGATGCTGATGCTCTTGCACCCGAGTTTCAGGATCAGTGCGCGCATAGTCTCTCATCTTTTGTGCCTCGTCTACTCCACCAGTAGCTCCAGCCCCAACACCGCCTGCAGCCAAAGGGTTACGTTCAGTGTGGTTTCCTGTCTGGGGCTGGCTCCCGTCACCGTAGCCAGAAGATGGATAAGGAGAGGACCTAGTGGCTATAGCTGGTTGGTGGCCTGATCCGGCCAATTGGTCTTGCGGAGTCGCTGCAAGACCAGAACGGTTACTAGAGCCAGAATGCTTTTCTGCTTCGTATGCACCAATACCACCGGCACCTGCTAGGCCAGCATCTCTCTTGTAGTGATGGTCGGAGCTAGTAGCAGACTGATGGCCGCTTCCAGCTGAGGAGACTGCAGATTCATCTCTCCCCATCCCAGAACGTGTAGGATCCACGCGAGGGTCAACCCCTGAATCATAAAGACTCTGACCGCCCATGCCGGACGTATTGCTCGACGTTGCCAGGTTGGGTTCATCGCGACGATAGTGCTTCTCTGCCTCATACAGTCCGGCACCGCCAGCTCCTGTCAAAGCGGCATCGCGCCCGGCATGGTGGTGGCGACCTTGGGATCCGCCCATGCTTGCGGTAGTGCTTGACGTTGCCAGGCTAGGATCATTGCCACGGTGATGCTTTTCTGCCTCATACACCCCTGCACCGCCAGCTCCCGTCAACGCCGCATCACGCTCGTAGTGGTGGCTATCGCCGTGGGAACGTTGCTGCTTTGACAAATCGGAGTCGACGCGGGGGTCCAATTTGTTCAGCATGTCGGACTTATGAGGGCCAGCGGTCTTTCCCGTAGACGACACACCTGTAGCAGTATGACGTTCATTATCGTACGCGCCACCTATACAGATTTTGTAGTCAGCATTCTTTCTTTAGGGCTGTAGCCCGAGCAATGGGACAAATCAAAAGGGAACCAAGATCGAAGAGTGGTCCAAAATAGGAAATGTTTGCCCCAATAATGTACATACCTCCAGTGGTATCAAGGCCGTGACGATCAGTGTTCGATGAGTCAAGTCCTGCAGATGTAGTGTTACCCGTGGTGCGCTGTTTACTACGGTCTGCCTCTAATGCCCCCATTCCTGCAGCACCAGCTCCACCTACTAACGCAGCTTCTTCACCACGGTGACCATGGTGGCCGTGATGATGATGTCCACTGGAGTCACCAGTGGTAGCTGCACCCTCAATACCACTACCTACATGCGGGTCAAGTCGATTTGCCGTGTCTGTAATGTGAGGTCCGGAAACGAAGTGAGGCCCTTCCTGGCCGCCGACCTCTCCAATTTCGCATGGATCGCCTTCATACTGGTGGCCATGGCGCTGGTGTTCGTGTTGCCAAGATTCAGGTCCGTAGCCGGTACCTGTGGTCGTTCCAGATCCCACAGCTCCTGCTCCTGCCCCTGCTTCTGCTCCGAGGGTATTACGGCCTAGGGAGCCTTGGTTGCCTGAGCTTGGTGTTGCACCAGTACCAGAGCCATAACCACCGGAAGTTGACCCATAGCCAGTATCACCCACGGCACGAGAACCATCACTATCGACACGAGGATCGACATTGTTGGCAAGGTTCGACGAGTGTGGGCCGGCAGTTGTGGAGCCATGACCATTGGAAGCGGAGTTGCCTCCGAGGGGAAACGAGCGGCCAGTCTCCGGGGCGTAATTGTCTCGCTGGGGATCTTCGTGACGGTGAGTACTAGTTCCAACGGCTCCGGCCCCAAGAGCAGCATCGCGGCCAAGGTGAGATGATCGTGATTGGTCTCCATATCTGGGGTTGTTTCCGATGCTACGGTCTGGGTAGCTATTGCCGGTGAGACTGCTCTGTCCGAGTCCTGTCTCTATTAATGTGGTTTTGGAGTCAGCAGTATACAAAAGCGAGGTCACAAGACACGAATGAGGCGACAATGAGAGGGGTTGTTAACCCCAAAATATACATACCTGAAGCAGGCTCAGGGGGAAGGGGCTTGTCGGTAAAAGTTGGGTCGTTGGCGCCAGTCATGGCTGATCGTGACTGAGATTGACCTGGAACACCGGAGCTCACGCTGGCCGTTGTTGCAGCGTCATCGTTGTCAAACCCTCCAGGCGTACGGGAAGCGTAGGGCTCGCTGAGACCATGGGAGGCACCCCCAGTGGTACCACTATCGAATTGGCTTGTCCCAGTGGGATTGCTCGAGGTGGACAAGGGATCATGTCCGGCGGTGCGGCTGCTGCTGAAATGGCTGCCTGTGTTGATTTTAGTAAATTGGCCGAGTCTTCCGGCGAATTCGAAGCTTACCTTGACCGGAGCCAGTATTGGTATTTCCCATACTGGTATCGCCAGTGTGAACGGGGTCATCCGATCGTCCGGAACCATACATGACTTCATCGTCTTTCTTGCTTCCAGGGTTGCTACAACGGAGAAGTGCATTAGCAGGCTGGAATTCGTCACTGCGCAAAGGTGGCGAGCGGTCTTACACAAGGTTCTTCAGCTTCTCCATGACTGTGAAGCTCAGTGTGATGACAGTGTCTCGTGAAAATGAGTGACAGGATCTGCGAGGTGAGTTCCTTTTGCTTGTGAATAGAGATGGAGATTGTCTTGGGCGGAATGTGGTTTTGTCCGAAGGAGTCTGTGCACAAAAGGGAGTATGTGTATACAATAATGAGGGTTGGAAGTAGTTCAAAAAGTTAACAGGAAGAGGAGTGTGAAGGAAAGGTTGCGGGATGAAGGGTATTGTATTACTTCAGTCACATGTAAATTTATTGAAAGAGCTTGGAAGCTTTATTTATTACAACTTGGAAATCTAGGAATCTGAACCAAGAATGTCATCGCGCATCAAGTCCCGTTCCCACTATTCCCCTTCCAACGCTCTTTAATAAAGTAGTTCAAGGTACACCACTGCTAGAAGCGGCAGAAGGCCAAACCTTCGACGAGTCAGCAGGACCAGTAGGACAGGACCTGGCCCCCAGTACCATCTAATTTCGCCGCGGTAAGCGCTCAGTATTAGGCTGAATAGGACATTACGTTACATCAAGGAAGTCTTGATTGACGAGCTCCAAGAAAATTGTTTCCCATCGTTGATATGACTATACATGTACCTAGGTGCGTTTGTGGATCGGAGATCGGACAAGTGGTGGGGGGAGTGTGGCTGTGAATTGTGGCTGTGCAGCTGTGCCACAATCGAGTCCAAAAGAGTTGACTTCGGAGTTCTAGACCTTAGGTAAGTTAGTAGTAAACAATTAACAGAAACAAGACATGCCCATCCGTATATTGTCAACCCAAATTGCAGGAACGAGATCAATCTTTGACACCATACAATGCTTTGTGCAAGACTGGCAAATCCGAATCACCGAGGTGCTAAATCAAAGGGAAGTCGTTGGTCTTCCTTCAATGTTTCGCTGCCAACTTGTCTTGAACTTGACGGCCAGCGCCTCGCATCTGTAAGGTACACGGCCAGTCTGAAAACCATCTAGCCCGGTAACCAATTTGGCCACCTCTTCTGTACATGAAATAGTCTTCGTAAACGCTTGCACGTATTCGTACATTTTCCGATCACCCGAGTCGAAACAAGAATCCACACTAAATATACTCCTTTTTCTTCACTCTCCTTGTTGTCTTAAAGGCTTCAAAGTGCTCTGCGTCATCGCTTTTGCCAGTTCATCTTCAGTGAACAGTCGTCCATTCGTAATCGTCTTCTGCGTGTCAAGGCCGTGAACATCGCCGTTCGTAATGGTCTTCGAGAACTCCAAGCCAGCCATATCTGTAGTAATATCGTTTGTCCTCGGTCTCCGATTCTCGGCTGTATGCTGCCTCGATAGTCCCACTAGCACCAAGTAGAATGTCAGCCCGTTCAGTTGATCTATCCTCCCAAGATGAAGAGGCCCATACCGTTGGCAACATCGTCATCCCCTTCTCCACTCTCCTCTACCCCAGCAAAAGCAGAATTCTGCCTACTCCCCAGTTTACTCTTCTTACTCCACGCGCTATTCCTCCTGCTCATGATTCGACTGCCCATAGGACTTAAATCACTTCCCACCGTCCCACTACTTTTCCTCCTCTTCCACGCGTCTCCAAAACTAAACGCTGATAATTTGTCCTGATGTGCTTGATTATAAGGACCACGGTATTTCGGACGGGGCATGGCCTCGCCCGGCTTGTAAACATTATCGGGCAGCTTCTCTTTTCTGGCCTTTTTCGATTTGGTAGATTTAGTTGTGTCGGTTGTGGTAAGGTCGGAGCCATCATCGTCCTTCATCTTCAGTGCACGCTTCATCTTTTCACGGAAAGGCATGGCACGTCTGGTCTGGGGAGACGAAAGAAATTGAGGGTGTCAAACGGATATGGGGACCCGATATGGATTTCCTCAGCCGGAGCGGAATGCGAACGCAGCACAGACTGTGCTCCGGAGTAGGACGTCTGCTGGAAAGATTTGTCTCCTGGCAACTCGGACACTCATAAGAGTAGGTGTTCCAGTGGGGCGGCGGCGGCAAGGGAATGGCGTGACAGCAGAAGACTCGAAGTTTGGTTGAGTACGGGACGGGGATCCCGCCGAGAATAATCGTAGTAAATTTACGGTAGAGTAAGCAACGGCATTATCGGATCGCGTAAGAATACCGGGCACATCTTTCGTAGTGTCGGAAAGGTTGCGATCGTCGAAGAAATGTCGAATACATGGCTGGGGCTGGAGATAGTCATGGGAAAGCTCGGCACGTAGCTTTCTGGCCTCTGATAGTGATCTGGAAGACTTTGAAGTGGTGTGAATCTCTCCCCATCATTGTGGAGTAGTGACTGTGTTGAGTATCTCCACGGTAATCCACCTGGATCGTGGCATCAGAAGAATTGACTTCCGTCATGAGATTTCGGTACGCCACGTATCGATAAGTATGGACTTGCGAGAGCTGGCCTGTCTTTCTATCTAGACAAATGCAATTGTTACAGCGCAACTCCAATGTTCAAATGGAATAAATCTATGGAAGTTGGGGTATCAGTTTTGAGATGTCGCTCTCAAGGTACCTAGGAGAAGCAGACAATGCCCATGATATCTCCACCCATTATATACAGGAATCGAATTATATACAGGCGATAGAGGCCATTCTAATAATGACCATAATGACGCCGATGAGAGGCTTTACTGCCACTTATACGTAAGCAAGATGAGACGCTCTCGTATGTCTTGGATGAATCAGTGAATCTCATTCCCGTTTCACTTCTATGACAGTGAAATAAGTCCATAGATTCCCCGAGCTCAAGCTTGTTCCAGACGAAGGTTGGTTATATACAATGGCCCCGAATGCATCAGGAGTCTTTTCTGTTCTTATTCTCTTCTTCATCGGCAAGAACCCTAAAATACCAATCGCCTTGCAGATACCAGGAACGGTCCTCTAAATCAGGTCTTTGATGCTCATTCGGTTGGACGGACTCATGGAATTTGGCGATGGCGCCAGAGGAGGTAACATCATGGATGGCCGTAGTGACGATTCCTGAATAGCAAGATGCTGTTGCTCTTGTTCCTTCTTGCGCGACAACCTTTCAATGGTCCTCAAGACGTCGTCCCACCCATTCCAGTCGGATTGCTTTGTTTGAGGCCTGGCTGGTGAAAGGATTCGGCTCTGGCGTTTCATATCTTGTTTATCTTTTTCACTTGATATTTGCAACGGTTCGCCCAAATGTACACCACCTTCACCTTTTTGCCATATCCACGAATTCTCGAAGCTACCCTGGAGATCCCCAGACACGTATGCGATCATCTCCTCGTCCGTGTCGATCTGGACTCTATAATCCAGCTTAGATCTCATCTCGTGGAGAAAGAACTCGAGATATCGGCCACAGTCTACATTGACTGGACGCGCGTTTCCCAAAGTGGCGCTCGCTCGAGCACATGAAAGCGCGCTCTCAAAATCGAGGCGAAAGCACAGAAAGAGTGTGCAGCGCCAGACGTGTGTACAAAAGAAAGCACTGCTTGCTGAAATCATGCGGCTTTCCCAAGTGTCGTTTTGCTCTGCTTCATGGTATCGAGGCTCCCCAGGTGGCTGCATGCAACGGCGAAGGAATCCGGCAGTATCTTTTGCAACAAGTACACATTGATCAATTGCGGTAGACCTTTCAACGGAGTCGCAAGTAGGCGTTAAGTTGTGTCGATGAAGCATGAGCCGAGCATTTTGTAGGTATATAATGGGTGGGAGCTCAGCTGGATGGATGTAGCCATTGGCTCGGCGATGTTTTTGTGCAGGGAATGCATTAACGCATTCATTGAAGTGCAAATCATAAGCTTGCAATGCAGATTTAGCTAAACGATCACTTTTAAGAATCCGTAAAAGTCTAGCGATGCCACCGATGACCTGTATCATAGGGAGAAGGGGCGACGTTGATTGCTCTGGATCTGGGGAGGAGGCCCAAGGAGTTCCCGGTATCATATACTGGTCATCGATAGGACTTGGCATGCCAACATTGCAGTCCTCCTCTTTGGTCAAGGAAGGTCGCCCCAATTCCAGCGACAGCAAGCTATTTGAGTCAGACGTGAGATCTATATGATTTGATGATACCACTCACCAGTCGCAGGCATATACACACCACCAAACACGTCGGCGCATCTCCTTTTCAATGGCAGGCCAGGTTCCAGCTTCGCAATGCAGGCCAATATCAAAAGAAATCCGCACGGCAAAACCAATCCAGGTCCAGCCAGCAGATTTGAGGTTCATTTCAATGAGGAATATGCTGCTGAGAAGCGCAGCACGTGCATGATCAAGGGTAAGGTCTTCGGTCCACATATCTATAAGAGACTTGGATATTTCCAAATACTTCTGGCCATCATACCAAGAGCGATGCAGCGTTCCACAAGCGAAGACGGCAAACAAAAGAGCACTCCATATTCGCGGAACACCATGCAGCGACCCATTCTTATAAGCACTGTGATATTGCTCTTGAAACGATGGCCAGTGAACCAAAGGTAACGTTGGATGAAGCGTGGTTCGGTATTGGTGCACAAGAGTGTCTGCCACATGCTTCGGAGGAAGTCCAGGAAGCGAAGACGAGAACAGGTCCGATGAGTTAATTTTTTGATGCGGATACGGCGGCTTGAAGATGCCCCTACCGCGTTGCTGCATAGTGGAACCTATCCTGGACAAATCCTGTGGAGCCATTGTCCTCCGCCTCTTTGGCTGTCTTTCTTCGTACCCTGAAAATCGCTCACTTACATACCGTGGAAAGTATGTGGTCTCCGGTCCTGGAAGATGAGACATATTGTGAAGGTTTGAGGGCTCTGGACCTGGGAGATGTGCAAGAGGGTGGGTTTGGGGAAGAGGGTCCGAAGCAGAGATACCATGGACCGGACTCGCACCTTCCCCGGATTCCAAGATCGAGCGAAGGTGATTCACTTGTGATTTTGCCTGGGCTAATTCTTTCTGAAGGTCCTGATTGTGTCTGATCCGGGCGAGTCAAAAAAGCACGATGGCAATGGATATGCACGGCACTGACCTGATATTGGACATGCGCCTGTTTGTCTCTTTTGTGAACTGGCATTTCACATTCCTACTGGTACATTCTGTACAGCTCGTGCTTTCGGTGGCGTCGCACTGTAGATATCAGTGCTGAACTACAAAGCAGAGAAGCATGAGCTGACCTTCACTTTACGCTCTCGACACGCATCACAGCTTGGATCCTTTCTCCGTTGTCGATAAGCACGTTTCTGTCCCTGCAGGCTAGTAGCCATCGCGTTGGAGTCCGGATACACGTTTGGTACAAGAGATCCACGCGGATGACTGATCTCTGCATAGCCAGGTAACGACACCCCAGGCGGTGTCATTGTGGAATGGTAAGACTGAACGAAGTCAGCAGACCTTGCCGCGGATCCTCCTGGTGGGGACCTATGCTGAGACTGTAGTGGCCCCAGTCCACTCGAGGGCCTGCTGGTAGCACCAGAAGTGGACATGCCGATACCTGGTGTAAGAGGACTCTGGAGAGGAGTTGCGCCAGACGGAGCCGATGATATGGTGTATGGAGTAGCCTGTGGATACAATGGCGGTGGCCTTTGAGCCGAACTTAAGACCTGGCCAGCCATTATTGAACCTCCAGGGTGATGAACAAACTTAGGTACAGGCTCTTAGGGACACAGGGAGTCGCTCAAAGCAGCCATGGACGATTTCGACGGGCGAAAGTAGCCATTGACAGGTGTGGGATTAACTCTGCGAAGGATCATACAGAGTAAGGATACGGGCCTTATTGTCCTGGTCAATGTTTTCAACAGGCTACCTTTAGGTCCGTGGCAGCGCTATTGACTGTGATAGATTCAAATTACCCTACCGCACCGCGAAGGGGAATCCCACAGGAATCGTTGGATAGCTTTCCACGGTGGTTCCGGTGATAACTTATGAGCTCTTTGCTTTAACTTTGGCAGAATGAAAGAAATGCTGTGTAGATTTGACGTTTGGCTCCCAAATCTATTTGCCACCTTCAGTCATTGGCTCCCGCAGAGATAAAAGACGGGTATGCAGGGCCAGCCTAGGATTGGCGGAGCTTTCATGCATGCAATGGAGGGTCCAAGTTCCTATTTGTCGGCACCCATGGAAAGATGTCGGTTATCGGGAAGTAATTTTGCTTAAGAAAAGTGACGACAGCCGCAGGAGGAAAAGTCCGAGCGTTGGCGTATGGGTCCTTGGTGGATGTTTGGGATAGGGAGCTGTTGAGTGCTTGCTACTATTGGACGCAATCACAATAAGTTGTAGGCAACGTCGCAGACAAAGAACACAGCATTTCCTATGTCATGCAAGATCAGAAAAGTAGCAGCAGGAGGAGAAAAATGGTATCTTTAAGTCAGATTCGGAAGGCATTGCTTTTGAATGGGGATATCGACAAGTGGGATGGGGAGTGATGGATGTGTCTGCCCAAGATCTACATGAATAGCAGTGTGAGGAAGTTAAAGATGGTGCCAGAGGTGTGAAAGGCATGCCGAGACGAAGCCGAGAATGGCGTTCTCGCTTTTGGCTGGAAGAAGAAGAAAGCGACGATCGATATGAAGTGATGTTCGCAGGTCCAGTCCCCGCGGCCGCTGAATCAGTAGTGCCTTCCAGAGGCAATCAAGAACAAGCTTTAACTTGGATTTAGCTGGAAAGGAATGTTAGCGAGATCATTCCAGGCCAGGGATATTGAAGCAAGAACGGAGGTCAGTGTCAATCATCTACTTAGGTGCATCAAAATGATAACCATCAAGCAAAGTACCTAACTTGGGTTACCTATGGTGATGGGATCATGGGGCACTTTGCTCATTGCCGAAGCGAG